AAACATGGAACTTGCATGGCTGCAACTGTATCAGGTAGGCAGGGCAGCAGCTTGTGGGCCCTCTCCTCTGGGCACGAAGGGGGTGATATCTGCCACAGTCCAAGGTGGTCGGGCTGTTTCTTGTGCTGCCTGCACCGGTATGCCCAATGCTCTGAGGAATGCCGGTATTTCAGAAGTGTGTGATAGCTTGTGTGTCACGCCTGCCTAGTCTGCGTGGGCCCCACTTGTAGGGGATGGCTTGATCCCGTAGTAGTTGTGTAACCTGACGGAAAGATTTCCTCCATAGTGTGTCTTAAATAGTCTCTGTAAAATGCTAGTTGTGCCTCTTCAAACGGCACTGTGGGAGAGTCTCTTGTGGCCCCAATAAGTATTCCTTGGTCAGAGTCTCTCACAAATTTTATCAGGATGTCGCTAGCTCCTTCTTGTGGCGTAGAGGTCGCCCTGGAGAGCCTGAAGCAGGAATCGATCATTACCTGTGTCAGCAGCGTGGCTATGAGCCGTCGGCAGAAATGTGGCAGTTCAGTGCCAGAGATTGTCTCCGGTATTCCCCAGACCCTCAGGTTCCGCGTCTTGTGCCTGTCTTCCATGTCCGCCAGTTGTGCTTGCTGGTTGGCACACTGCTTGCGCAGGGCGTTCAATGCGGCATCTGTGACATTTTGCGCCAGTGTTGTACCTTTTGCGCCCTCCTCCACTGCTGCCACCCTGTTTGTTAGTGCAGCAATATCCTCCCTCACCAGTACCATATCCGCCTGAAACATGGTCTTGATTTCTTTAACCAGGGCTTTGATATCCGCTTTGGTAGCGGGTGCTGAGTCTCCCTGATCCTGGGGTCCCTGAGGTGTCTGGTGCCCTTGGCTCAGTATGGAGGGTTCAGTGTAGTGGCTATCCTCGTCCGAGGATTGGGAAGTGTAGGCCTCCGGCGCCATCTTGGGATTTGCCGGCCGCGTGGCTGCGCGGAGAAAAGCCCCGATATCTCCAGATCCTGTGCTCAGATCTGCCCTCTGTTTTTTGGTTTTCTTCCCCATGATACAGGGAGTCCGTGCTCTGTCTTTGGTGCGCCGGTGAGCCGGTGTTTATCGTCTCTGTGCAGCATTTTTCGGCTCGGTGCACGGAGCAGTAGTGCTGTGCGACTATCCTGCTCGGGTGCTGGCTCCGCCCCTTGGCTATATTAATTTTGACTGCAACAAAACAATGTATAGCAAAGCAGATATGTTCATGCGACTTTAATTGCCAATGCAAATGTAAAAGGGCGATGACCGGATTTTGATTAAGTCTAATACATATAACTGTATAAATGATATTAAATGCCCATATCCACAGCAGTTTAACTATTGGGCATATGTGCCCAGACACGAACCACATCTCCAGCAGGTGGAATCATATGTTTCATACATTCTTGTCAATCTTGTTGGAGTAAAATACCATCTGTGTACTACCTTAAAATGGCATTCAGTCAAAGTTAAACAATGTATATATTTATTTACATTTATTAAAGACGCTAGCCAGTCATTAAAGGGAATCACTAAATTGAATTCCTTCTCCCAGGTGTTGATCAGTTTATGGGGTATTATTCCAGTTTCATCAAGCAAAGAGTTACCGTTCGGTAACAGAATAGAGCTTCTAATTTCTTAGCCAAAGGAAAAGAAGTTGGAATAACATTTCTGTATGAAATGTTTGATTCGAAGATAAGTAAATATCTCTCTAGGAGAAATATGTATATTATCAACAATCTGTTGAAAAGACAGAATATTATCTCCTTGCATAAGGTCTGAAATAGTGAATCAATATTTCCCCAAGAGGTCAATGAGAAATCCTGTATAATACCCTCCAAAATATTAAGACTACAAGATCTTGGTATTAGTTGTACAATATTCAAAGTTTTCTTAATTTCTGCCCAGTCCTCTAGAGTTTGAAACAACGTGGATGGAAACCAACTATTTAACTTTTTCGGAATATCTTTGATATCCATCCACATATAATGGTATAATCTAGAAGAGTGGGAAGCTTCCGACTCTAAAATAAACCATGGCTCCCTATGAACCTGTGGATCTTGAAGAATGTAAATATGACGAATAATATTTGCAAAATACGTAAATGTAATTGTAAAGGATCCTTCTATTCGTGCAGTGATGATCCTTGCAGCTTCTCCCGAAATCCAGCTGAAACAAAGTGATTATAACTCCCAATCCCCCTCCCAAACACGAGTCGAGACTTCATGAAGGGGTAAAACGATCTGATTTACTGTGGGCTACCCGTCTGGTATTTATGCAGGTCTCCCACCTGGTGGACACTCCCCTAGGGGACCAGATGGAAGACTGGGACGAAAGTAACCAATCACAGTGGCTATAGCATAAGCACTCCCCTTTTACATAAATCACTCCCTCTTTTTCATCTTGGAGATAATTAACTTAAGGTAGCAAAGAGAGCCTTAATTATCTCCATGTAGAAAGAAACAGGGCTTTTCTTATTTTAGTAAAACAGCATAAAAATCTATAACTTTAATTTTACATAACATAAACTTTAAGTTCCACATATCCCCAGATAGCTTGGATCTGAGTGCATATTCTAGGCGAATAGCGCTCAGATCCCACGAACACAGTTCTCAGAAACGTCGACTGACATTTGGCTTTCGCCAGCCGTTCGTGTGATTGTAGCCGACTACAAGTTCCATACTGTAGCTATCTGGGGTCGGTCACTTTCGCATACTTCCAGCGCATGAATGAAGCAGTATCTCCTTCATTCGTGTAATTTCCCCCCGTACGAACGAGGATTTGAAGAGGTAGCAGCGGTGTTCAACAAAATAAGTAGCCGACATTAGTTCCAGGGAATCCTCACCATTTACCGCTGAGCGTTCGACAATCCAAAATGGCGATTGCCACGTGTTTGGTAAACGAATGCAGACCACCATCTATTCTCCAATTAGTCTGTGGTTAACCGCAACAGTCTGGGTGGTTAATAGGCGCCACACGACCTCCGTGGGAGGTCGGGTGGTTCGGTAGTTCATTCGTTTTTCTCGCTGTTTGCACGAAATCACTCTGTAACCATCCAAATAACCGAACAGGCTGGTTTGCATGGTCTGTTTAATAAGAGATTTTGTTACACAGCTCCCCCTTAGTCCCATGGAATGGCATACCTGCTTAGACCCTAACAGGTCGGCTAAGGGATGTCCGGCAGAACAAGAAAAACAAACAAAATAGTTACTTCTCTAATTGAGTTTGCTGTGACAGGCCATCTGCATTGGCATTCTGCTTCCCGGGGCGATACTGCATTGTAAAATTATAGGGTTGCAGTGCCAAGCTCCATCTGAGTAGTCTGGGGTTATCGCCAGCTACTCTGTTAAGCCAAATCAAAGGGTTGTGGTCAGTCAGCACTGTGAAAGAGCGTCCATACAGGTAGGGTTGTAGTTTTTTAAGTGCCCAGACTAATGCCAGACACTCTTTTTCCACGGTGGCATAGCTGACTTCGTGTGGCAACAGTTTTCTGCCATCGTCCCCCACCTGGCTCAATACTGCTCCCAGTCCAAACATTGAGGCATCTGTGTGAACGAGAAACCTTTTAGTGTGATCAGGTGCCGCCAACACAGGAAATGCACTTAACGCAGCCTTGAGTTTCTGGAAAGCCTCCTCACACTCAGTGGACCAGACTACTTGTCGGGGTAGGGACTTTTTGGTGAGGTCTGTCAGGGGTTTGGCTAGGGCACTGTATTCTGTCACAAATTTCCTATAATAACCTGGGGTGCCCAAGAACGCCATGACCTGTGTTTTAGTCGGGTGTTGGGGCCACTGGGTGATGGCCTCAGTCTCAGCTGGCTCTGGTCTCTGTTTTCCTGACCCTACTCTGTGGCCCAAATATTGGACTTCAGCCATGCCTACGTGGCATTTCTCTGGCTTCAAGGTGAGCCCTGCGTTCTGAATTCGGTTGAGCACTACTGAGATGTGTTCCAGGTGGGCTTCCCTAGTGCCACTGAAGATAGCTATATCATCCAGGTAAGCACAAGCGAAGCCCTGAAATCCCTCTAGGAGCCGGTCCGCCATCCTTTGGAACATAGCTGGGGCATTCTTCATCCCAAATGGCTTAACCTTAAACTGGTATAGGCCAAATGGGGTGACAAATGCCGATTTTGGAATGGCCCCAGGCTCCAAGGGGATTTGCCAATATCCCTTACACAAATCAATAGTGGTCAAATAATTCCCCCCAGCCATACGGTCTAGCAGCTTGTCTACTCTGGGCATGGGGTATGCGTCGGTAACGGTCCGATCGTTTAGTTTACGGTAGTCCACACAGAACCTGGTGGTACCATCTTTCTTAGGAACCAGGACTACTGGGGAAGCCCACGGGCTTTGGGACGGTTCTATGACTCCCAGTTCTAACATGTCCTGGATTTCCTTTAACATGCTTTCCCGTACTGCCTCGGGGATCCGGTAGGCCTGCTGCCGCATGGGTTACTGGCCTGGGGTCTCCACTCTGTGGACTGCCAGGGTCGTATACCCTAGGGCTGCTGAAAACATGCCCCCAAACTCCTTTAACAGTTGGAAAGCATGAGCTTGCTCCTCAGGACCTAATTCTGGACCCAACTGTATCTGTTCTACCCCTGTAGGTTCTTGGGGAAGCATATCCGATAAAGGAATACCCTCACTATCCTCATACGCTGGAGTGCATACCGCGGAGACCTCCTCTGTTCTCTCGAGATATGGCTTGAGCATATTTACATGGAAGGACCGCCGGATCCTTCCATCGGAACAGTCTGCCACAATGTACGTGGTATCACTGATCCGCTCTATTTCAGTGTAGGGGCCCTGCCAGGATGCTTGTAACTTATCTGTTTTGATAGGCTTAAGCACTAGGACCTTTTGTCCTACTTCTAATATACTGTCTCTAGCTCCTTTGTCGTACCAGTACTTCTGCCGTTGTTGGGCTGCCCACAGGTTCTCCCAAACTGTTTCTGTCAGAACCTGCAGCTGGTCCCTCAACTCTAGTACAAATGGGACTATAGGGATACCTGCTTGTTCCATATCACCTTCCCAATGTTCCCGTACTAGATCTAGGGGTCCCCGGACCCGTCTCCCGTATAATAGTTCGAACGGGGAGAATCCGGTGGACTCCTGGGGAACTTCCCTATAGGCAAAGAGCAAATGGGGAAGGAATTTTTCCCAATTCCGACAGGTCTCTGTGAACGTGATGAGCATTTGCTTAAAAGTGCCATTAAAACGATAACAGAGGCCATTGGTTTGGGGGTGATAGGGAGAACTTAATATGGGTTTTACCCCACAGCTCTGCCAGAGCTCTTGGGTAACCACCGCTGTGAATTGGGTTCCCTGATCCGACACTATCTCCCTAGGGAATCCCACCCTAGTAAACACCTGAACCAGTGCTTCCGCCACCGTCTCTGCATGTATATTTGACAGTGCTATAGCTTCGAAGTAGCGGGTAGCGTAGTCCACCACAGTAAGAATGTATTTCTTACCGGATGGACTGGGTTTGCTGAGTGGCCCGACTAAATCAACTGCCACTCGGAAAAATGGTTCCTCAATGATGGGTAGGGGACGTAGTTTTGCCCTGGGGTGATCCCCTCTCTTCCCTACCTTTTGGCATACCTCGCAGGTCCTACAATAATCCTGCAAATCTCTAGTGACCCCCGGCCAGAAAAATGATTGGGTGAGTCGGTCTCTAGTCTTTTTAATGCCTAAGTGACCTGCTAGGGGAATATCGTGGCTAATCTGTTACAATTCTACCCGATACTTACGGGGCACTATTAACGGTCTTTTTTCTACCTGACCCGCTCCTTTCCCTGTCCCCCCGGTCACTCGGTACAGTAAACCCTTTTCCCAGATAAACCTTGCCTGATCTCCGTCTCCCTGGGGTTGTTCGGTCTCCCTCTGATATCCCTTTAAGGTGGGATCTTCCCGCTGAGCTTGCTCAAAGTCTTGAGGGGTACCCAAGTAAGAAGTATGGTCAGGGTGAATCGTCAGAGGGTTATTGCTTACCTGGTCATGGGTTGAGGGGGAGGCCTCCATAGCTCTGGATTGCTGCCGGGTGCTCCTTCTGGACTGCAGGCTGCCAATTGGGACGTCAGGCATCCTAAATCATTCCCCAGCAACACTTCCGCTGGCAAATCTGGCATGATGCCCACTTCCACAGCCTTGGCCCCCGTACCCCAATCAATGTGTACCCGGGCTGTTGGTAGTTTATGAATTGCCCCTCCGGCCACCCTTACAGCAATGGTGCGTCCTGTGTGCTGGGTCGGGGTGACCCGGTATGGCTGGACCAAGGTAATAGTAGCCCCGCTGTCTCTCAGTCCCCGAGCCTCTTGTCCATTTAGCTTTACCGACTGGCGGTGGTGCGCCCTGTTATCCCCAGCCGCTTGCACAGGGTTCACCTCATGTAAGGTGGCCCAACTCTTACTGTGGTTACTGGGTGTCTCTTGAGTCAGAGAGTTGTAATCCTCTTGCACACAGTGTGCGGCTGCTTTGGTCAGTGGTACTGATGTCCGCCCCCAGCGGTCTGTAGTGCGTTGTGGGCAATTAGGTTTGATGTGCCCCACTTGCTTGCACCCATAACACATTGGAGCGGTCTTTTGGTTGTGGTATTGCTCCCCGGTGGTGGTACCCTCTGTGGCATAGCTGGCGGACCAGATGCAGGCCGCTGGCCCTGGAACCCTCGGTTTCCATCCATTCGTCTGCTCTCATTAAATTCGTCTGCCAGCCTTGCTGCCTCCTCCGTTTTTGGCTTTCTGTCTCTGACCCAGTCTCTCACCTCTGCTGGTGTATAATCAAAAAATTGCTCCAGTAATATCAATTGTACAGCCTCCTCTAAGGTAGTTGCCTGATTCCCCTGCATCCAATTACTGACAACGCGTTGCATACGAAATGCCCACTCAGTATACGAATCCTTGCCTTGCCTTGCCTCCTGAGGGCCCGAAATTTCCTTCTATGGGCTTCAGGAGTTACAGCGTACCGAGCTAACAAAATCTCTTATTTTTTCGTAGTTTTGTATATCCCCATCTGGCACAGCTCTCAACGCTTCGGCTGCTCTACCTGATAATTTGCTGCTTAATACTGCAGCCCAGTTAGCTATTTCCAAATCTTCTAGCACACATTGTCTCTCAAAATCTTGCAAGTAATTATCAATATCCATCTCACCTTCCACGAAGCTTTTAAATGCAGCGTAGTTGATTTTCCGCTGACGCCCCATTGTAGATCCAGATAGCGACAATATATCCACAGGAGGTGATCTCTCTCTGGCTTCTCGGGCTTCCCTGGCATTCTGGGTCTCCGTAGCTTGTGCCAAGATCTGTACCACGATCTCTGATGTGGGGTTAGTGTAACGGAGCTCCTTGTACTCCGACCGAGGGAGCACTTTGTCACATATCTCCCCTTCGGGGGGAAGACTAACCAGGCACCTGACTTTCTGTCGGTCAGTGCCTAAGTAAGTCAAGTCACCCACCGACCATAAGCAAGTGCCAGAGTAGCCCACCCACAACAAACAGTTTTTAGAGCAGCCCACCCACAGCAAACAGTGACTGCACCTGGGTATTCCTCTGGGGTGATGGGGCAACACGCTGTGGGGACTTGAGGGGCAGAGGCCAGCGGCGCTCTGCCCTGATGCCAGCACTTCTGCTGGGAGGAGGGGGGTGCAGGCCAGCCCTATGACAAGGGGATCGGTAGGGCAGAAGCCAGCGGCGGTCTGCCCTGATGCCAGCTCTTCTGCTGGAATAGCCTGCAGGACATCAGGCTCTGGACAAGGGACAAAGGGAGGGCAGAGGCCGACTGCACTCTGCCCAGCTGCCAGCTCTTCCGCTGGGGGGCTTGGGACATAGTCCGGCTCAGTAGCCAGGGGAACGTGGGGGTCAGTGGGGGTTAACATCTTCCCTGTTAACCCTGGGGCCAAGTTAGGAGTTAGCTGGGGAGGGGAATTCGTACTTACCCCCTCCTCCTGTTGTCCCTGTGAGGGTAGTTGGGGATCTGGACAGGCTGTCCAGCATCCCTGTAGGTCGGGCACAGAGACCACGGTCCCCTCTGCGCCATCTGGGAGATTGGTGTCTCCCCTTGGTAGGGTAAGCTGCCGCTGGGGAGATAGGGTGCTGTGCTCCTCTCCCTGAAACACAGACTGCCGCTGGAGAGGGAGACCACCTGTCTCCACTCCCATAACATTGTCCTGCTGCTGGAGAGAGAGACCAACTGTCTCTGCTCCCTATAGGACACACTGCCGCTGGGGAGGAAGGACGACACCTTTGGCTCCCTGGAATTCGCACTGCCGCTGGGGAGAGAGACCAACTGTCTCTGCTCCCTGTACGACACACTGCTACTGGGGGGGAAGGACGACACCTTCGGCCCCCTGGAATTCGCACTGCCGCTGGGGAGGAAGGACGACACCTTCGGCTCCCTGTAACTTGCACTGCCGCTGGGGAGGAAGGACGACACCTTCGGCTCCCTGTAACTTGCACTGCCGCTGGAGACTAGGTGTCCATATCCTCAACCTCCACAGTTGTCACTCAAAGGCCATTGCCGCACTGTTCTTAGCACTCAACTGGCGCATTACTTGGTGGACCACCTCGTTCGAAAGGTCTGGGCCATAGCAGACCAACCGCCTCTTTACCTCCTCAATGTAAGCGTCGTCCTCGTAGTGACGTATCATGTTGAGGTGCTCTTCGCAGGGCTCTGTCCATCCCTGCTCCATGCTGCTGTAGTTAGGGACGCTGCACAGTGGCTAGCGTTGCCCTCAATAACCTCTCATATGATACCAGTGTCTCCGAGCTGCTTCTCCTCGCACTAGGACGCCATCCCACCGCTGCCACCAATGTAACGGAGCTCCTTGTACTCCGACCGAGTACCCTCCGTTGACGGATGCTCCTAGCGCTTCCTGAGGACTCCAAGCGCTGCAGCAGACACCACAACCACCGCAGACTCCGCAACCGCCGTATCTTGACTGGAGTCTCGCCGTCTTCTTCCACCCTGGATCAGCTTCTGTCCTCCAGGACTGTGTGGGAAAGAACTCTTCCTTCCACCCTGTATGAACCTCCAGCATCCAGGACTGTGTGGTGAAGACCCCTCCTCCAAGGAGAGCGTGTCAGGAACAAGCTCTTAAAAGAGCTAAGTGACTCAAGCTCAGGGGAGCATGCAGAGCATAGCAATCCCCAGTGTGATTATAACAGCTCCCTCCAATAACGAGACAAGGCTACATTTAGAGGGATCAAGAAGAACTGTCAAAACCTTTATTCCCTTGGGACCAGCCAATACAGTCACCACAATAACATTGTTGTGAAACCTCAATAAAATCACAAACAGTCAAACCATATCAATAAACACACAGTGACTTATCACTACACAATGGCACATTTTTAAAGGGGTGGGGGGAGACAATATTTAACAGTAAATATGTCACCTGCCTGCAGAATTAGCAATATGCAAATCTACCCGAATATGCAAATGAACCAGTCTTGCAATTCAGGTAGTGCATATTGCTGTTGCTACCAACAGAGGGCACTAGACCAGCTCCATAGCCAAACCCACCTAGTTGGTAGCAAACCTCAGCAATACAAGAGAGCAGGCAATACATTACACAGTACACACACACTATAAACAATACATTACACACATCCTGCACCTATAATGGGTACAGGGTGACTAAAACATAAGATAAATAAAGCAGCCTACATAAATAGTCTGTCTGAAGGTATACTAGGGGCTTTAAAGCCAGATACATGAAAGAGTCATAGTCACAGGGGAGGAGGCTGGCAAGTATGCCTCTCCAGGACCAAGTCGCGAAGGGCACTTTGTCACAGTTAGGTCCTACAAGGCTAAGTCTCCATCTCACATCCCTCTGGAACTCTGTTTCCTCTGCATTCGCCATTTGTTGTTCGCCGGTTTGATCGCTCTCCAGTAGTTCGGCTATTAACGTGGCTTTCAGTTTGTTGCTTGCCACTATGCCTCGAGCTTCCAGCAGTTCCTTCAATGTAGTTCGTTTCAAGCGTTCGTATCTATGCGCCATTCACCACTTGTTTCGATTCGGTACGTCCATTCGGGAGGAAATCCCGCCGATTGCCACCAGTGTAAAGGATCCTTCTATTAGCGATGATCCTTGCAGCTTCTCCCAAAATCCAGCTGAAACAAAGTTATTATAACTCCCAATCCCCCAAACATGAGTCGAGACTTCATGAAAGGGTAAAATGATCTGATTTACTGTGAGCTACCCGCCTGGTATTTATGCA